GAGGCGCCCCTCGCCCGCATTATCATTCCAGTAATGACCTTGGTCATCGCTCCTTCCCATCGTACTGGTCCATTTTTCAGTTTCTTCCCTTCTGCCCCTCCAAAACAACATTATCCCAGTGCGACCCGATCTAAGAGTTGGAGCATCTAGGAAAGCAACATCTACATCTACACCGACAGCTGCGTTAACACATACACATGCGTCTACGCTGTGCTATGCTAGGCTATGCTATGATATGCGATTTTGCGCTATGACATGCTATGCTATGATATGATATGCTGCGCTATGTTATGCTATGCTATGCTGTGCTATGATATGCTGCGGTGTGCTATGCTAAGCAATGCTATGATATGCTATGGTATGCTATGATATACTACGCTATGATATGCTGTGCCAGGCTATGCTGAGCTGTGCTATGCTATGCGATGCTTGGCTATGCTATGCTGTGCTAATGCGGCGCTGCGCTATGCTGCGCTGCGCTAAGCGAAGGTAAACTAAACTATGATAAGCTAAGTTAAGCTAAGCTAAGCTAAGCTAGGCTAAGCTAAGCTAAGTCAAGCTAAGCTAAGTCACGCTAAGCTAAGCTAAGCTAAGCCTAGCTAAGCTAAGCTAAGCTAGGCTAGGCAAAGCTCAGCTAAGCTAAGCTAACGAGATAAGCTAAGCTAAGCTAAGTCGAGATAAGCTAAGCTAAACTAGGTGAACACAGGGGGCGCAACTGGGGGAACCGCGAGGCGGATGCTGGGCGGGGCGCCCGGGGCGGGCCCCGCTGCCCGGCCCTTTAAGCCACCGAGTAAGAACCCTTCTAGGCAGAGCCTAGGTAGGGAATGAACCTCGCGAAAAAGCCAACCATGTTTGAACGCAGTGCGAAAAATAGACCAGACCGCCCGACACGCACGAGTCCGCATGCGAAATCTAACACGAGAGCCTGCGGTGGAGCCCCCCATAAAACCACCGACCGCGTGAACACTGCGATGAAGTGGCATGGGCGGCGGCGAGCAGCCGGCGCAACAAAATTCTTCGGTGGAGCTCCGCATGGGCCCATGGACCGCGCGAGGCAGCGCTGAATTGGCCGGGGGCGGCGGCGCGCGGCCTGCGCTCCAGATTTGGCTACTTAACACGCGAGCAATGTTGCTGAAATGGTCTGGACGGCGCAACGCGGCACGTGCCGCAAACGCTTTCGGCGGGGTTCCATATGGGGCCACGGACTGCGAGGGGTGCGCGCTCAATGGTCTGGGCGGCGGCGTGCGGTTTGCGCCTGAAGACCTTTTCAATGGAATTTCCGAATGCGGCCACATATCGTGCGAGGACAGATGAAGTGGTCTGGGCGGCGGCGCGCGGCCTGTTTCACAAGCGTCTTCGGCGGAACCTTTAATGGCGCCACGAAACACATGACAAGCGATCTGAAATAGTCTGGGCGGCAACATGCGACCTGTGCGACAGAACCCTTTGGGGGCTGCGCCTGGGGCCGCGAACCGTTCGATGGGCCTGCTGCAACGGTCTGCGCGGTGGCGTGCGCCCTGCGCAAAACAACAATATGTTTACCTCCCCGGGGTTGCGCGAATCGCGTTCTGAATGAAGTGACGTGGTCTGGGCGGTGGCCAGCGGCCCATGCCACAAGGCATCAGGTGGCGTTCCCTATGGGGAAACGAACGGCGTGGCGGGTGCGACGACGTGGCCCGGACGCCGCGCCCGGTTTGCGCCGCGGGGGTCGTCGATGGGTTTCCAGAACTATGGGGCCGCGAACCGCGAAATTGGAAGCCTCGAATAATCTGGGCCGCGGCGTGCGGCCTGTGCTCTGCGGGATGTCGGTTGAGCTCCTAATGGGGCTGCGAAATTTGTAAACGTTGATCTGGAGTGGTCGGGGGGGCGGCGCGCGACCGCATCTCGTCGGCAGGGTTGCACATGGGTCCGCGAGCCGCGCGATGGGCGCGCTAGACTGGTCGCGGCGCTTGCGCGCGGTTTGCACCACAGGCCCCTTCAAAAACAAATCGCCCAGGGACAACGAACAGCGCGCGGCGCGAAGGGCGCGCTGAAATTGCAGTGGCGCGTCCGCAAAACGAAAGCAAACCACGCAATATAAAACGCCATAGGCGATGAGGAAACGAAGCGGAGAAAAGAAAGAGCAGGAAGAGGAGGAGGAGAAGAAGAGAAGAGGAGAGGGGAGACAAACAGAAAGGATGAGGCGCAAAGCGCCGCGAATTCAAAGCGAGGACCTGACGCGCAGGAGGGCTGGGAACAACAGCGAAACAGATCGAGGGCCACCCTCGACCAGCGCGCGCGCGCCGCGTGCGCGCAGGGCAAACCAGCGGCGCGCCAAGCACGCGAGGCGCAGCGGCCGCACTGGGCACAGCACGCGCACGAAACGAAAATCACACACATACAAGCCGCGCCAATCAGATAGCGGGATCACCTGCCAACGCGCGCGCACGATGCTGGCACCGCCCCTGGCTGCAAGGAGCCTCCGATCCGCGGCGAGCCATCGCGAGGCCTCCATCGGCACCTCGTACGAACTGTTTCTGGACAGTGGTGTTGGTTCGGAGCGCGGACACGCAATTCCCTGGCTAGCAGCGCCAGCAGTGAGAGCTGCCGAGCTCGCGCGCGCTACAGACATCGACGGCGCGTGCGGACACGTTGGCATACGTTGGTTCATCTCGCTTCTGCCAGTGCCCAACAAGGACTCAACGCGCGCCCGTCCAGGGCCCGCCGCGGGCCACGGCCCTCGACGCCCTCCAAGGGCGCGGCGGGTTCGGTCCCGATTGGTTGGTAAGCGTTGAAAATCGAACGGGCTCCCGGACTCCGCTCGGTCACCGATGAGAGCCCCCTGTATTTTCCAAGCCAACAGCGCAACTTTTATACGGTGACAAATACACAGTTCTCCACGCGGCTACGCGCGCGCGCGAGGAAAGTCCCACCTGCCCTCTGGGCGCAGGTGGTTTAAGAAGTGTCCTCTTCCACCCCATCCGTCTTCCCCTTCGGGGAGGGTTTGATCAATGTTTCTTCTCATGGTACACCCCCTCCCCCAGGCGACAGGCGCCCAACCACGAACCATGAGGGCGCCATGGCGACCCGCCCCCCACCATCCCTGTCAAAAAAATGCAAGCCGCAGTCTGCCTCCACAGTTGGAGCATGCGCAGCCAACCCGATGCGGCCGATGGATCGCCTGAACCAGTTCGAGTGGACCATCCAGGCGGACCGGGCGGCAAGGGCCCGCCGTGCGGTGACGGGCCAAGCGTCGACGGCAGCGACGGCCGGCTCGGCGGCATCCCCCACCATCACCCTGGACGAGGGCTCGCTGGAGGAGGTTGAAGTGAACCCCGGGCCGCTGCGCGAGTCCCTGAAGGGCCCGCGCGTTCGCCTGATGGAGAACCTCGCGAAGCTGAAGTCGGCCCCGACGTTCGAGCTGCCTCCGGGGCTGACGGGCGCGTCGCCCCCGACCTCCTCGTGCAGACCTATGGCAATAACGGCAGCATGGGCATGTTCGCGACGGACTGGGTCGAGCAAAAGGAGCTCTACAATAACCATATCGGCCACGAGATGCTCTTGCACTGCATGACCTTGGATCGCATGCTGGAAGCTTCTCCCGATTTCATCGCGACGGTTGGCTGCGAGATCCTGTGCTCGAGGGTCTGTGCGTTGAAGCGGGCTTGCAAGGGCGCGCGCGCGATGTCAGGCTGGAAGCAGCCCTGGGGCGCGTCGGCCAACAAGTGAAAGTCGATGGGTGCGCTGGGATCTGGCAAACGAGCTGGATTGGCGCTCGGTGATGGACGGGGAGGAGTCCTCCTTGCCCAGCGGCAAGAAGGATCTCACCGCGCGGCTGCCGCAGAAGGCGCTTTTCAAGAAGTGCCTGCACAAGGAGGGCTCCGAGGGCGCTAACGAGGAGGAAAAGGATTAGCGGTTTTCCACGTGGGCGTTTTCGCCGAGGCCGAGCTCCCTTGGCGCCGGGCGCGGGCGCTGGCGCCTCGGCGATCCGTCTGCTTCGACAGCGGCTGCGCGCGCATGCAAAACCCGCGCTCCGCGATCTTGGCGGAGAGGATCGGTGCCTCGGCCTCCCCGAGCGGCTGGCGCCCCGCCGACTTTGCGGCGTCGGGTGGCTCACCTCTTTCTCTTCAACTACGCCCCCCTGGCCATGACGACGTCTGGCGCAGTTCCGCCGCCGAAAGCTCGACCTCGCGACCGCGATCTTCTGCCGGATATGCCGCTGCCCCCCTGGGACACGGTGGCCGGCCGCATGGAGTCCGCCCCCCATGGCGCCATCAGAAAGGTGAGGTCCCTGACCAGCGGGCCCATTCGCGCCCTGCACTCCCTTTCGCGGGGGGCGGTGGGATCGGTGCCTGGTTCGGGGCCCGCGGCTCCGTGAGAACGATCGACCTCGCTCCAGAAGAAGGCGGCCGTGGAGCTTCTGGATTCGTGAGCCTCCTGGCAAGGCCACATCGCCGACGTCGACGTGGACCTGGGCGCTGCCGTCGAACGCGCCCTCGCTGGCCGCCGGGCCTCGCCGCGCGAGGGCGAGGGGGTCACCGCGTCCCTGGGCGCGGGTTCGAAGGGTCGCCGTGCGCTGCCAAAGTGCGATGTGCCCAGTCGACGTGGACGAGCTGGCGCTGCCTGCGCCCGGGACCGCCCCCGCCAAGCTCGTCGACATCTGCCCCCTCGCAGTCGAGTGCTTCTCGGACATGGAAGGCCGCATGCCAAGGTGACCATATTCTACTTTGATGCGAGAATTGGTGAGCCAGGTGGTCTACCGGGACCCCGGGACCCCGCGCGTGGCGGAGCGACTCTGGAAAGGCGGCATGCTGACCTTCACCAAGAAGAAGAAGAAGAAGGAGTCGGTGTCGCTCATCCAGAAGTACGTGGAGTCGGAGGTGGACGGCGACCTGGTCTTGCAGCGGCCTGCGCGCGCGATCTGGGACGAAAGGCGGGCCAACCTACGCTGTGAACGGCCGCCCTGCGCGCCGCTCGGCAGCCCCGCCTCGTCCGCGCACCTGGGCCTCTCCAACGTCGAGGCGGAGGGCGCGTCTACTCTGCGGTCGGCGACATGCCCGACATGTTCTACCGGCTGGAGACGCCGTCGCAATGCTGGCCCTACTTCTGCTTGGACGAGGTTGGCGTGGGCGAGCTCGCGCAGTGCATGGCCGAGCAAGCGGTAGACGTCGCGGCGCCCGCCGACTCGACCTAGTCGGCCCTGAATGCGCTCGACATGGGGTGGTCGTGGGCGCCGTTCCTGGCGCGCTCCGCCCTGCAGGCGTGCATGGAGAAGGCCCTTGGCGAGGGTTCGGTTCGATCTCGCCTGGTGCACGGGCCCCCGGCGCCTCAGCTCCATGGCGACGCTGGGGGCTGCGAGGCGCTCAATTGGGTCTGCATGGGCGACTGCGGCGTGATGGCGAGCAGCGCGAGCGCGAAGGGCGGCGAGACGCTGGTCTCAAGCATGGCGGCGAAGGTCAAGTCGCACCTGGAGCCCGTTGGCCTCGCGGTCCACAAGGAGGAGGAGGAGGGCGAGGGACTCGAGTCCTTGGGAGCTGTCCTGCTGGGCCGCCCATATGTGATCGGCCCGGGCCCGCTGAAGACGCGCCACCAGGCCCTCGTGGCCCCGGCCCTGGTGGAGAGACCCCACTACTGGGCAGCGACCATGCGGGAGCGCCCCGTCGGACTCTGGCTTCGGGCGGCGGTGTTCCAGCGAACGAGCCTCGCCATCTTCGACCAGGTCTACCACGAGCTGCGGCGCCACTCGAGCCCGACGGCTGCCTTCCGCCTGTCCGCGGAGGCGCGGGCCGAACTCGTCGCCGCTGCCCGCTGCGCCCCGCTCATGGTCACCTACCAGGAGTCGCCTTGGACCCGCCAGGCCTTCATGAAGGACTCCAGCAACGTGCGCTACGGCGTCGCCGTCACCAACGCAACGGTGAATTCAGGCACTGCGAGCTGCGAGGCTGGACCATCGCCACCCAGGGGCCTCTACACCAATACCGAGGAGGACGCCCGGCAAAAAGGCTGCGGCGGCTACGCCCACGACGCCGAGTTGGCGCCGCCCGCGGCCCCAATCGCGCGTGGCCCGAGCGAGCGCGCGTTCCGCTTCCTGTACCTCTTCGCGGGCGTTCGGCGGCCGGGAGATCCCGAGGAGTACCTGCGGCGGCGCGCGGAGAGCGCTGGCGCCCTCGTCGAGGTCTGGTCTCTGGATGCGGTCAGCGACCCGAAGCACGACCTCACCGACCCCGACCTTCTGAACGTCATCGTGAGGCTCGTCGACAAGGGCTACTTCCACGGCGTGCTGGCGTCGCCCCCGCGCTCGACGCGGAGCCGCGCCCGCTTTCGGGGTCGCGGGCCCCGCCCTCTGCGCACGCGTGCAGAGCCGTGGGGGCGCACCGACAGCAGGCTGACCGCGTGGGGGCAGCAGCGCCTCGAGCTGGGCGCCAAGTCGATCATGACGGCGCCGACGGTGATCCGCGCAGTCTGCGCGGCTGGGGGGATCGGCATGTCGGAGCATCCGCCGACGCTGGGGGGCCACCCTACCCGTCGATCTGGCACCTCGCGGAAGTGAAAGGCCTCGCCAAGGACTTTGGAGGGTGGGTGAACTACCTGGACAAGTGCCGCCACGGCGCCCCCTCCATGAAGCCGGCCATGGTCGGCATCTCCGGCGCGTTCGACAAGGGCGACGGGGGCGCCGCCGCTCGGCTCTGCCTCGCCTGCAACCACGAGGGGCGCCACCGGCTTACGCTCGAAGGGCGCGAGGAGCCAGGTGGTCCGACCTTCCGCACCGCTGCTGCGCAGACCTACCAGCCCGAGTTCTGCAATGTCCTCAGCGAGGTCATCATCGAGGCATTCGCGCGCATGAGGGCGGGGGGGCTCGGGCCCGACGCCAATGGTTCGCTGCGGTCGCCTGCGTCGGCGACGTTGGGGCCATCTCGGCCTGGGAGATCGAGGGGGGAGGCGCGACGGGGAAATCGGGTTCAAGAGCCCCCGCTGTCTCGCACATGGCTCCCGCTGACGAGGCGGGGGCCCCTCTACTTCGGTAAGTGGCGCGAGGCCGAGCACGCCAATGCCAACGAGACGCGCGCCATCGTGGGCCTCCTGAGGCACCTGGCCAGGTCCTCGAGGTCGCGGGGGCTCCGCGACCTCATCTGACCGACAGCGCGGTGGCTTTGGGCGCGCTGGGGAAAGGGCCGATCGAGCTCCCAAGCCTTGCTGCGCCTCTGCCGCCAGGCAGCGGCCATCACCCTGGCGCCCCGCATCAACGGTTCCTACCGCTACGCGCCGTCCGAGGTGAACGCGGCGGGCGGCGTGTCCCGGGAAGACTTTCTCGGGGCGGCGCCCGAGACCGCGCGGGCGCACAGCGACCGCGCGACGCCAACTGCTCCCCCCGCGTCGAGAGAGGTGCCGCTGGGCCACGAGCTGCGCGCCCTCGGCCAGGCATGCGTGGGATACGCTGGTGGCTGACGCTGACCATCTTCGCCCTGGTCGGGCGCGCATCGGCCGGCCGCGAGCCTCTGCAGCCCACGGGCGCGACCCCGTTGACCAAGAGAGGCCCCTTGGCGTGAGACAACTACGCGACGGACCCGAACGTCGGCTTGCTGGGCGGCGGCTTCACGCGCCTGCCCACGCACTCGGTGGCCGACGCCACTGCCGCCCAGTGGGCCCCTGAGGTGCGACAGTTGCTCAACTTCTGCATCCAGCGCGGCTGGCAGCTCACGTCCGAGGCGGAGGTCGACCGCGCGCTGGCAGACTACGTGGACATCCAATGCTCGGCGAGCACAACAGAACGACCCTAGGCTCGGTGGCCCTGTTTGGCTTGCTGGTGATCTGGCCGGAGCTTCGCAACAAGTTGCCCCCCGCCCAAAGGAGCCTCCAGAGCTGGCAGAAGCTGGCCGGCGCGAGCGAAGGGGGCCCACTCCCAGAGGAGGCCATCTACGCGATCGCCATCTACATGCTCGAGCAGGGGCACTACGCGGAGGCCGTCTGGACGCTGGCGCAATGTGACGTCCACGGCCGAGAGCAGGACATGGAGATGCTGAAGGTCGCGGACGTCGCGTGGGATGGCCAGCGCCTGGCCCTCGACTCTGGCGCGTCGAGCCGCGGGGAGGAGGTCAAGACGGGCGCCGGCCAGGGCGCCGTCGCGCGGCGGGGCGCGGTCGCCAACCTGGCCCTGGGCCTGCGCGACTTAAGGGCGAGGAGGAACAAGAAGCTCTTCAGCGTCGACCAGGTGCGCTTCAGGAAGCGCTGGCACCAGGCCTGCCGCGCGCTGGGCATGCCCTGGGCGCCCCCGCCACGCGGGGCTCGCCACTCGGGCCCCGGCGAGGACGTCGCCCGAGGCCGCGCGTCGCTCGAGCAGGCGAGGCGTCGCGGGAGGTGGAAGGCACCGTCAAATGTCCAGCGCCACTCCAAGCGTTCGCCCTGACGCAGCTCCGCGCGAGGATGCCGGGGGTGGTCGGGGAGTCGGGCGCGCGCGCGGGGCGGGACTTGAAGGCTGAGATGTTGCGGGCCCTGCGGCCTCGCCCCCTCCCGCGCGGCAGCCTGCCCAAGGCGCTCAAGGACGCTGTCGAGAAAGGCCTCGCCAAGGACGTCGCCGCCGAGCCGATGAAGATCGAGAGCTCGAGGGGTCGCAGCTCCGAGGAGGGCAACCGCGCCGACGACGACAACCCAGACAGCTCAGGAGGCCTCTTCTCTGACGAGACGTTTGGGGGGAACGCTGGCTGGTGGACGGAGGGCGCCCTTCGGGGTGGCTAGGGGAGCCATGCGAGGGCGCCCTGGAGACGGTGGCCCACGGGCGCGGCCGCCACCCCTTTGGCGTCGCGGCCCGCGCATGACACCGGCAGCAGCATCAGTGTCCTCGACGTTTTTGTTTGTTTTTGTTTGTTCCTTCCTTTCTTTCTTTATTTCTTTCTGAGGCTTCGCTGGTCGCCACTGCATCCAGCGTCGGGGGCGCAAGTGGTGTTTGAAGGCGAGATGGGCTTCGAGAGCCGCCCGGCGCTGGCGTTGTAGCCGCGCGGCGTGGATAGTTGCAAGAAAGGTTGTCGCAGCTGCCCGCCGCGACCAGCCCAGCGTCGAAAAATGCGCGGCGTTGCGAGGCAGCGGCTGCGTGCGTTGGAAGCCCGAGCTCACGATTCGGAGCTCGTGAGTCGAGTGACGATAGAATTTGCGATCGCCTGCCTCGCATATCAAGATACACCTGGCCCGTCAGGGCCCTCGTTGTGCAGCTGGAAAATCAACGCATGAACATCGTCGTCTGATGTCGCGCGCTTTGGTTTAGTCTCGATCAGCTCTCGCTGGCTCTCGCCCGCCACTTGAGCTTGTTGGATAATTATCGCTTGTCAGACTTAATTTATCCGCGCTCGCGGGGCGTCTTGGGGGCCGGGTCGGGGGCGGGCAAGACGCCCCCCCTCTTCCTCGACGGGGCGCCCAAGCCTTCCCGCCGCGACCCGCCAGTTTTCTTCTGAGGCTTCGCTGGTCGCCACTGCATCCAGCGTCGGGGGCGCAAGTGGTGTTTGAAGGCGAGATGGGCTTCGAGAGCCGCCCGGCGCTGGCGTTGTAGCCGCGCGGCGTGGATAGTTGCAAGAAAGGTTGTCGCAGCTGCCCGCCGCGACCAGCCCAGCGTCGAAAAATGCGCGGCGTTGCGAGGCAGCGGCTGCGTGCGTTGGAAGCCCGAGCTCACGATTCGGAGCTCGTGAGTCGAGTGGCGATCGAATTTGCGATCGCCTGCCTCGCATATCAAGATATACATGGCCCGTCAGGGCCCTCGTTGTGCTGCTGGAAAATCAACGCATGAACATCGTCGTCTGATGTCGCGTGCTTTGGTTTAGTCCCTCAGCTCTCGCTGGCCCCCGCCCGCCCATTGAGCTCGTTGGATAATCTAGGTGTTCAAGCTTGGTGCTTAGTAGGTATAGGATGCATGTGACTCCATCGGTGCGTCTCCCCTGCTGCGTGACACCATGCTGATGGTGGGCGGCGCCCTCATGGCTAGCGACCTAGCCAATCCCCCTAGGCCGCGCTGTAAAGCAGCTGCATGTTGGGGTGGAGTCATATTTCCGCTCGCAACGGTAAGCCATGCGTGAACTCCGCGAACAAATTCGCGGAAGGGTGCATTGCCTGCGGGGCCCCAGAAGGGGCCCCGAGCGCGCGTTTCACGCAATCCTCCTCCTCGCGCGTCTGCCACGGCAAGGCCTAGACACACCAATCTAATTCCAAATTTACCGACCTTAACATAGTGCATGGCCATGTTATAGCTGATGGTGCTAGGCTTCGTGTCATCGGATATCGTCGCGCCCATAGGGATGCTACTGGGTGTCTGGTTTGACGTGGCCGTCAGCTTGCGGATAGGAATCGGTGCTCGGGTCGTGCGCGGCGCGTGGCCACGCGGTGGGGAGAAGGAGGTGTAGGGCTGTAAATTACCAATTGGTTCGAAAGTATTGAGAGTTGCAGTGGCTGAGAGCCGGCGCAGTCGGGTACCCCGCTGCGCTGTGCTAGGTTGTTATGTACATGACACCTGATGCAAGAGCCATCCACGCGAAGATGTAGCCAACTCCGCTACCAGATGAAACGCGAGGGCACAGGGCTTGTCCGCGAGGCAATGAGCTGAGAACCCTACTCTCAGGATAACGTCGGCGACGTATCGAGGTATCCCACAATTCATCCCTTGATGACAAGCAAGACGAGAGGTAAGAGAGAAACCCTGGGATCGGGAGATGGATACTGAAAGGGCGCGGCCTCTGTCCGCTGCTATGATTCGCAAATGGAGTCACGCAGTCGTGCACCTGGCAAATAGGACAGCGCTGCCTTGAGCCAAGACAGCGTCGATATAGCGTTCGCTATACAGCTTCGCCTTAAGCTTCGCTCAAAGTGTCACTAGGGTTCGGGCCCCATTTTTGGCCTTTCGGGGAGGGGGGGTGGGGGGTGGGGGGGGGGGGGGGAGGGGGGGGGGGGGGGGGGGGGGAGGGGGGGGGGAACGGGGGGGGGGGGGGGGGGGGGGCAACGCTAAGATGCCCCCCCCTCTTCTTTGATCGATCTCCGAGGCGCCCGGGAAGTCCCGCGAGGCCCCAAGATGGCCCCAAGAGGCCCCTAAGAGGCCTCTTGGGGGGCCCAAAAAGACCCCAAGCGGCGCCCCCCCCCCCCCCCCCCCCCCCCCCCGAAGCACCCAAGACGCCCCAAAACCCCCCCAGGGCCGCCGAGAGACCCCCAAGACGCCCCAAGAGGCCATCAAAAGCGGCCAAGAGAGACCCCGAGAGGCTCCGAGAGGCATCCAAGAGACCTCTGGCCCGAGTGTTTGCCCTCCTCCGCCTCCTGTTCATCATTCCTCCTCCTACTCCTTCCCTTCCTTCCATCTCCTCCTGCTCCTCCTCCCGTTCATCCTCGTTCCCCCGCTCCCTCATGCGTCCATCCAGCCTCCTCCTTTTCCTTCATCTTCCTTCGCGCGGTTCGGCCGCCCCCCTCTTTGCCCCCGCGCTTCCCTGATCACCTCAACTCGCCTGGGCATCGTTTCTGGATGGGCTGGTGGGGATGCGCGAAACGTCTATATTCTGGCATTGCTCATCCTCGACAAGTTGGGCGGACCACCCGACATCGCTCATTGGTGTTAAGATTTCGTTTTCGTTACCAGGCCATCAGGGCTACTTGTCGACGGTGGACAGCACAAGCCCCTTCACGTGGGTACGCACGCGCGCGCAGGAATTGTTCTGTAGTGTCCAAGCTAGACAAGTCGGGCGGGACACCCGAAATGCATTCGGTGTTCTTTACAGGTCCACTCCCGATGCCAGGCCAGCAAAGCGACTTGTCTGTTGCGAGCAGTACAAAACTCTCCACGCGGGTACGCGCGCGCATGGAGGGGTCGAACTGAATTGGCAACACCAAACATGTCGGGCGTGCCGCCCGAAATCCTCTCAGCCACTTTCAAGGGGTTCATGTTCGTTTGCAAGCCAGCAGGGCGACGTTGATATTGCGGGCAATACAGAACTCGTCACACTTGGAAATCTGGCGAGCCTTTGCCAAGAGGGACAATCAAACAATACGAATTCGGCGGTGAATGAATGACGCGCGGGATCTGGGGCGCGGCGGGGGAACCCAAAGGGGGTTAGCATTGTTTCATAACGCTCTGGATATCTCGACAGTGGTGCCTCGAAGAAACACTCGTGAACACCGAGAAATTCAAATGCGGCTCATACCCGGAAATGCTGTGCATATGTGCTTCGCAGATTACTGTGCCCACTCTGCTGTCGTACCAAGTATCACGGTCTGCATCCAATGCTTCTTGGCGACGACTGCGACACAGATTTTCCAATAAGGAATGTTACGCAATGGCGCTCGACCGCGCAAGCTCCCTCTTCGAAGAAACTTGTAATGCACTTGCTCGGGGCCTCCAGTTACGGCTCGAAGAGTTGGGCCATGCGTTTGCTGTGGTCTCCACGTGCGTCCCTATCGAAGACCCCCACTCCATCGAACCATGTGAATGATGGGTGATTCGTGGACGATGTCCCAGCCAGCCGCCGTGGACCGCTCCGACTCGGACCCTCACTCGTACCTCCTGTACGCAACACGCGAGTAGATGCTGTATGTGGCTGATGGTGGCGTTGCTTTCGCTGACATGTGCATCATTGAACTGCTGACTGCTGAATCCGACGGGGGCGCAGAGGCCTGCTCTGAATATACTTCCCGTTGCGCTTCGCTCTCCCGACAGGGAGGACACGTAGGAACAGAGTCCTCGCGAACGGTGGCCCAAATAGGTCTAGCCTTGGTGTGCGCCCGAACTAACGAGGATCCTCCTGGGGCTCCCTCTGTGGGCACGAACCTTGTGCGGGTGCCTGGTGGGCCAAGGTGGTCCTGTTCCGTTGTGCTCGCATGCTCGCTGGGGCCTTGCAAGCTTTTGGTGAACCGAATCGCGAAATCGGATCGGAAGCGCGGCCCAAACCGGCGAATCGAATCGCATCGATTCGGATCCTAGGCCGCCCTGACTTGCTGGGGCCAGACACGGGACTTCAGTGCAAGGCTTCGCCGTGCCTCAAGGTCGGCCTCGGCGGACGGCCATCTCGCCGCGACGGGCGATGCGGGCCCGTAATATTGTAAGAAGCTCTGACCGCTGCAGTGGGCTGCAGCGGCAGGGAAGCAACTGACGCGCAAGGAGGGCGGCCCATGACGTCACAGTACAGTCCCACTTCTGTGCCCATGCTCACACGGGGCCTTCGAAGCAAGGCGATGAGCTGTCCAACAAGTGCAAGGTCTGGCCCGTGCCCAGTGGTGGCTTGGTGGGGCTCCTCGCTGGGGGTGCGAATCCTCGTGGAGGGTGGCTCATGACGGTCCAGCACCACGCGCGCATGCTCACTGGGGCGTGTTGGTTTTCCGTATGGAGTTCAGAGCCCTCGCGAGCAGGAGCCTCCCAACGGTTTGACCCGAAGGTGCGTCCGAGCTCACAGGGGCGTGGTGTTGTGGCTCTCTGCGGGGGTGGAAGCCTTTGTGAGGGATGGCCCAATACGATCCACATCCAATCTACGCCTATGTTCTTGGCTCCTTGTCGGGGGGCGAATCCTGTTGAGAAGTGGCCAAGATACTCTGGCCCCAGTGCGCACCCGTGTGAACTGAGGCCTTGATGGAGCTCCCTGTAGGGGAGAGTGCCATCGTGAAGGGTACCTCGCGACAGTCCAAATATTATGGATCGCCGTTGATGACAAAAGAAGCAAAAACAAGAATATGAAGCCACTGACGAAGGACAGATACCGTGTCCAGAGTGCAACGTAGAGCCGTATGCGCTCGTTGCACCGAAGGACCAGACCTGTGGATTCCCATTTCGCTGTTTCGTTTGAGGAAGGAGCTTAGATGGTACGGAGGGAGGTACCAAGAAAAAGGGCAGGGGAAATGCAGTCCTCCTCCCTCCCCCTCCCCCCATCCTCCTCCTCATCCTTCTCCTTCCTCCCTCATTATCTTCCCTTCCTCGCCCCTCTTACTTACTTCCTCCTTCCTTCAAAATCACTGCGGGGAGACGCGATGGATGCAAGTTCTGGTCCGGCGTCACCGCCTTGAGAAAATGAGGACCTCCATTTGGGTGAATTTTTGGGCGAGCCACAATCAGCGGGGCTCACTCCGCCCATTCCTCGTATCCCTACTTGTCTTTGGCTGGGGTGCAACATGGATCGACATGCCAGCGCTGCGCTCTGGGTCCACCACGTCTTCTCAGGGGCCTTGGTCCAGACGCTTCAAATGCGTCTCCGTATGCCCTGGGGGGTCATCAAACAACGCACGAGCCCATTGCGGCCTCAGAGGGTGGCAAGGAAGAGAGGGGCAAGGGCAGGTTGCACGGTATCGATGTAAAGCACGAATTGGATATCCAAACGCGGTCGAATCGAATCCACAAGATGAGAAAAGAGAGGATGTCAAAAGGAATCGTGCACAAGGCCGCAAACGACTAGAACTTGAAGAAAAAGAAAACCAAGCCTTCGTCCGTCTTTTGTGAACAGCGGGAAAGTATAGTTCGCTGTGTCTGTTCCGGCAAGCGCCCTTGCAAGAACCCCCTTGATGTCGTCTCGGAAATTATCAGAAATATACCCTTCTATGAAATTCTTGCCCAAAGTCTCAGCCTTCCCATATCCGGATAATTCAGCTGCCTTTTGGTTCCACTCGGTCACACAGCCCTCCGTATCGATGCCCAGAATTGGTGCGTTGGCAGTGTCGATCAGCCGCATCAAATCATCCGCAATGCGCGAATTCTCTGTCAATGCTTTGCGAAATTCTGTAATGTCCTGGCCCACTCCGAGAACTCCATAGACTCGACCGTTCTGGTCACGCTTCGTAGTGGCATTCAAAAGAATATCGATTCGCCTCCCATCTTTGGTTGCCAGCGGGAACTCGAAATTTGCAGTTTCTCGCCCACTCATCGCCTCTTCGAGCACTGCTTGAACCCGGTCTCGATGCTCGGGAGTGATGAACTCGCGCACCAGATGCCGGCCGATCGTCTCCTCCTGGGATCAATTCTTGGTCCAAATCTAAGTTGCACTGCTACTGATGAAAATATGGCGACATGGCTGCAGTATGGTTTCGATAGCTACTCTGAAACACGCTCCATGTGGTATGCGCTGACGACGACTTTGCTGGCAAGTCCAGCCGTGACAGAAAGAGCTCGCAATGCCACATACAACTGACAAAACGTGCATGTGGCGCCCCATTTGAGCATGAGGAAGAATTCCACAAGCCCTCCGGGCGTAGGTGGTTCAACGGTATCTGTCTCTCCTCTTCCAAAGCCCTCTTCCCTTGGCGGAGGGGTGCCCTCCCCCTCGCCTCCATGAGGTTTTTGAAGGGTTTCGCGAAGTGGTAAGGGGTCCTTTTTCGCCCAAGATGACTCCAAGAGGGCCTCTGATGTTCCAATATGGCTCATTCTGGTCGACGATGGTCCAAGATAGCTTCCCACATGCCTCCAAGAGGCCCGACAAGGGCCACAGGACAGCTCAAACAGGAACGCACGAAAGTGGCGACGGTTGCGCTGGTGGCAGCTCCGAGAGAGGAAAGCTCGCATGTGGATGCGCGTGGAGCGCCGCGGCATCTCGCAGAGAAGCGACGTCTCGTGTGAATTCGCTCCGCCGGACCTTCCAGGAGCTCGGACGAACTTTGCGCAGTTGGCAGCCCCCAGGGAGACAACTCTCATTTGGATTCGCGTGGGGCGTCGCTGCGCTGGGCCTCACAGGAGCCCACGAAAAATTGTGCAGGTGGCAGCCTCCCCAAGGCGAGCGCGAGAGGACAAGAGAGATATGGGGAGGAGGCGGCAGAAGGAGGTCGCGCAAGCAGTGCTCTGCTCAAAAGAAGAACAACAACCACAAGAAGACAATGCAAACGTACACTTTGCACACATAAAAAATGATGCTCAAGTGCCCCGCGATCATTTTGCGTCGATACTTGACAAGGGCGATGGGGAACACCAGCATAGATGGCGGTGAATGTCAATATGTGTGTCGGGCCCAACATCACAACAAAACACGCACGCGAAGTGTTTGCGGGTGCGCGCGCCGCAAACCATGCTGACCACCACGCCGCCTCCCATCGACTTTTGGAAAAGACGACACAGAATCGACATGTTTTCCGATGCATGCTGTCACGTGTGCTGGCGCACATGGTACACCCTGCGTGCGACGCGCACGTGGCGCATCTGGTGCGGGCGGAGCACACGGCACACCTGGCGAATGTAGAACCCGCGGCGCATCTGGCGCCCATCCCATGGCGGCGCTTGCCAATACTGAGACTCTGGTACTCCCTGCGTGGTGGGTGGGCGGGTGAGCGTGAGCAAGACGGCCGTACTCCGGGAGGTAGCTTGACCCCTCCCCTCGTGCCCCTCCCCCGGGTCTGGACAGGGGCACGGCGAGGGGTCAGACCGTCCAACATGGCCCAAGATGACTCCAAGATTGCCTGCGAAACCGATGCTGGCCCCCGATGTGGCTTACGATCCATCATGACGCCAAAGGCCGCGCGACTTCTCCAAGACGGCTCCAGGCGGTCCCAGAGCCGCCCAAGGACGACCCCGCCCACAAGGTACCCGAATCCTTCCCAAACCGAAAGGGCGACTCGTTTTCCTTGTGTTCTTGCCCTGTCGCTTTCGATGTGCTTTTGGTGCCCCAGTGTGGCTCCACTATTACCCAATCGAGCCTCACGATGGGCCCATGAATACCCCCAGACGGCCGCTCTAGCGCCCCAAGCTGATACTTTCAGGGTCTAGAGGGGCAAATCTGTTAAGGTGCCCCCCATCGCTCAAAGAAAATACCATTGGACAAACCATCGGATGTTGGCATCTCGGGGGCATCATTGGTAGGCTTTTGGGCCAACATGGCCCCAATGCGGCCTCAGGGATCACAACAGTGCATCCAACATGGTCCATTTTATCTCAGTATGGCTCCATATTGCCACACGACGGCTACGAGTGGGTTCTCAAGACACCAACGGGGCACCAGTCTTTTATCGTTTCGCAATTTCTCTTCCGATGAGCTCCCGAGGCTTCAGGACTGATCCAAGATGGCCTCCACGATACCTCCAAGAGGCTCCAAAACTGCTCCAAGACGGCTAAGAGTGGCCACGAAGCCTTCCAAGGATGCCCCCCACGAAGTGACCATCCTTCCATCACCCGAGGGACACATACGATGTTTGCATTCTCGCTGTGAGTGCTCCAAGACGGCCCACGTGCGCCAAAGAGCGCCCCAAAGGCGTTTTGAAAGGCCTGCAAGAAGCGACGTTTCGGGCCCAAGAAGGGCGAGGCTGATAAAGATCCCCTCCTCTTTGATCGATGTTCTCCAAGATGCCAACCCAGGCTCCCAAGAGAGCCCGGAGAGGGCGCCAAAGGCTTCCAAACTAACCCCAAGAGGGCCCAACGATGACCCAAGTAGGCTGACAAGGTGCTCCCAGATCAAGAAGACAGAGAAGGCAATCATAGTTCTCTCCTGGGTCTTCTCAGGCCGATTCCGAGCTTCGGTTTGACCACCAACCTCCCTTTTGTCGACTGCTTGCTCCTGCACTTCCCTGATCAATGACATGATCAATGACATTAGCCTGGGCCTCGTTTTTGGATATGCTGGTGGAGATACACAAAACATCAAATTGCGCTGACATTGCGTAATAGACACATGGGATACATACGTGAGGCCATGCGGGGCATTACCCGGTATGTGCGCGACCTAGCCAATACATAACATCAATAACAACTTATTTTCATTGGAAGAAACGGAGAATAGAGTTCACATCGCAGAGCTGTTCTACTTCAACCGTCGGTCTGTCGTTCTGTTTCGACTGTCTTGATCTACACACATGTCCTGTCTCACTGAACGTTGAACTTAAAACATTGCTCGTTTGCTGGCAAATCGGGAAACAACTTTACCGAACTGGTCCGGACAATCCAGCAACCTCGCGTACAGTTCTGGCAAACGATGGCCGACTTTCGAAACTGTGGGCCCAAACATGTTGACGTCTCGTTTTTACTTCCGCCGCCTTCCGCTGCCGCGTTACTTTCGTGGCCTTCAACCAGGGGCAAGACGCTTTAAAGGCGGGGCCATTTCTGGAGCGCGTTCTGCTCTGGACCAGAACATGCCTAACATCGGGCAACGCTGCTGGGGCGACCAGAATAGCGTGTGCACACATACGGTCGAAACTGCGGCCTTCGATAAAGCAAGAGCAATAAAAGGGCCCCGCCTGTTGGACACAGGCTGACGCACGTTGATACCAACGGGGATTGCATGAGACGGCACGGCATGAACCTACCGTGTGTACATACGACCGAGACTGCGGCCTTGGATGAGGCGGGAGCAACTGAAAATCCCCGACCGCTGAAATAGGCTGACGTGCGTGGATATCCTTGGGGACTGTTCGAGAAGAATTGAACGGCCGCAGCCGTGCAGATCCACAGCACCGCCGGCAGACGGATCAAACGGGGGCCGCGGTCAGGGGAGCCACCAAGGGCCACGAAGCAGCGGGGCCTACCCCGTGAAGGCCGTAGCAGACTCGGCGAATCCCGAACTGCACCCCCCCCAAGGCAACAGTTGCCGGACGAAGACGGGTGTGCAACAAACTGCTCCGCCATCGGGGGACGCCTGTCACAAGGGCGCTGGAACATTTATGCAATCACGGTCGCACGTCGGGGTATCAACTTTCCAGCCGCCCTGGGACAAGCGTTCCCGATGGCGGACACATTTATCTTATACCGTTTCCCGTCTGCTGAAGCGAGGACCTCGCTGCAAACATGCTGACACAATTGGGCCGCGGCTGGTCCGACGGATCATGAAGCCCTCCCCCCAAAGAGGCCATCAAGTGACGCCGTCCACTGCGACATGGCAACCGAAAACCAACCGAACCGACAGCGAAAGCGAAAGCGACAAGCCGCAAACAACCTAAAAGGGCAAAGCGGCGCAACAACCGACCGAACTGAACCGACTGCGAAACAGCCGACCCGACCGAACCGTGGACACCCCTGCCAGAGACCCCCAGGCAACTGGGCCACCGCGGCATCAACGCCCCCCCCACGGAAACGTCAGGGCCAAGAGGCACGAGGTAGCGAGTCACAAGTCCACGAGCCTCTCACAAAGATCTCTTGGGCGCAGGGTGAGACCTCCCAGGGCCCTCCCTCACAATGCACTGGGGCGAAGGTTGCACTGATACCTCTAGGGGCGCGGCCACAACACCTCGAGGGGGATGATCGCAGCATGGAGAAGATGCGCCAAGGGGGTGGACTACATGTCGGATTGAGAACCACGAGAACTTCAGAACGGTCTCCTTGGAATAGCCTGAGATCTCAGCAGCCTTCCGGTTCCACTCGATCACGTTCCCACTGATATCGACGCCAAAGATAGGCGCATTGGCTGTCTCAATAAGCCGTTGCCAATCTGCAGCCAATCGCTCATTCTGCGCACTGATGAGGTTGAAATCTGTTATGTCCTGCCCGACGCTGATAACGCCCGTGATGTCGCCGGCTGGCCCTCGGCGAGCTGTCGCATTAAGACATATCTCTCGTCTGCGGCCGTCTTTCGTGAAGAGGGTGAACGTGTAGTTGGCAGTGTTGGTTCCGATGAACGCTAATTTAAATACGGCATCAACATCACTCATGCACTGATTGGAAATGAAAGTTTCCACGAAACGCTTTCCCAAAGACTCCTCTTTGCAGAACCCCGAAATCTCTGCTGCCTTCTGGTTCCATTCTGTTACACACCCATCAGTGTCAACTCCAAAAATGGGTGCGTTAGCTGTGTCTATTAGTCGCATCAGATCATCAGCAATACGGGAATTCTCCGTCAAGGCCTCGCGCAAGTTGGTGATATCTTGGCCGACGCCAAAGACGCCGATCACTTCACCAGACTCATCCCGCCTCATAGTGGCATTAAGCATCAAGTCGATACGTGCCCCGTCTTTCGTACAAAGCGGACACTCGAAATTGGCAGTCTCCTCTTCGCGGGTAGCCTTGGTCAATACACTTTGAACCCGATCTTGATGTGCGGACGGGATGAACTCTCGCACAAACGGAAGGCCAATCACATCTTCTTTCGGGGACCCCGTGAGTTCCGCCATTTTCGCGTTCCATTCGCTGACGTTCCCATCGGTACCGACTCCAAGAATGGGAGCGTTGGCCGTCTCGATGAGCCTCTGCCAATCTTCAGCGAGACGCTGGTGCTGAGCACTGGTCTGGCTGAGTTCGGTGATGTCCTGACCAACGCCAATAACACCAATGACCTCACCACTTTGTCCTCGGCGGGCAGTGGCATTAAGGCAAATCTGCCGTTGATGTCCATCCTTACTGAATATAGGGAAAGTGTAATTGGCAGTGTCCTTTCCATCCAGAGCTCTTGTGAGTACCTCGTCCACGTCACTCCTGAATTCCATAGAAATGAAAGTTTGCACAAACGACTTACCAAGCACATCTGCTTTGCAATATCCTGAAAACCGCATGCTCCCTTGCGAGACCGCCAAGCTGCGTAGATGCTACGAACGTCTGTTGCGCAGTCGTCCCAACAAACGAAGACGCCTGGCCGATTTCATTTGAAGAACTTGGAATGCAATCGCTGCTAAATGCGCGGCACCCTGTGGCCCGGCAAAGGTTTTCATACCGCTCGCTGGGGTTGTTTCCTCAAGCTCGCCCTGGCCCCTCTCGAAGGGTTGTGGCACACGTGGATGATGCTTTCCCAGCTCTTATCAAGGCCCGTGCCACCAGGGCCTCCAATACAAGGCTTCCCAAGGCCTCGCAGCGTCACCCAGGGCCCCCAGGACCTCCAGAGTGGCCGCCAAGATGGGATTTTGGGAGCTCAAGCAATAAAGAAACGTACGAAGTTTCGGTGATTTTGGTATGCCGTCTGTTATGCGCCCAGGAGGTCCCAATCATGTTTCAAGACGCCTCCAGCGGCCCCCAGATGGACACACGACTGCCTTTAGAAAGTCCTAGATTATCCCGCCCGAGTGGCCCCACTGTGGCCCCCAAGAGGCCCCAAGATGGCCCGAAACTTGCCCAATGTTAGTCCACGGTGTCACCAAAATGTCCCGATGCACCCTTTCTTAGAACTGCATGTTTTTATTTCCTCAAGTAGACTTCACTTCCGGGCCAAGATCTACGAACGTTCCACAAAACAGACACACGATTACGTCCAGTTTCCGGTCCAGAGTCTTGATTTCTTTACCGAAACCTGGAGTCCATGAACGCTGATTCTTCTTAAGATTTCTGATAGGAGTATTGCCCAACGAGGCCCACAAACGTTTACAGTCCTGCCCTCCAGCTACGAACCCATCGGACAACTGGCGGCAGACGGCAAAGCCTTTAAGATGATCGCAGCCTTTTGGTTCCATTCTGTCACGCGCCCCACGGTGTCAACGCCCAAAATTGGAGCGTTTGCTGTTTCAATTACACGTGTCAAGTCGTCTGCGATGCAAGCCTGCCCAATCAACGCCTGTTGCAATTTGGTGATGTCTTGACCTACGCCGAAGACGCCGATCGCAATCCCATTTTCGTCACGCCTCGTGGCAACATTGAACACTATAGCAGTGCGCGCTCCGTCTTTCGTGCACAAGGGGAACTCGAAACTTGCCAGCTCCGTTCCGTTGAGCGCCTCTCTGAGGACGGCCCGGACTCTGTCTTGATGCTCGGGGGTGATAAACTCCCGAACCAATGGTCGACCTATTGCCTTCTCTTTCTCGACCCCTGTGATCTCAGCAATTTTGGCATTCCACTCGTTTACATTAAGCTTCTCGTCAACGCCGAAGATGGGCGCATTCGCTGTATCGATGAGACGCTGGAGGGCCGCAGCCAAGCGTTCGTTCTGCGCACTGATGCCGTGAAGCTCTGTGATGTCTTGGCCGACACAGATCACACCAACAATATCATGATCGACACCACGTCTGGCAGTCGCATTAAGCCTGAGTTCGCGCCTGCGACCATCTTTTGTACTGAGAAGGACATCGAAATCTGCCGTTTCATGGCCTGCGAGTGCCATGGACAGTATCTTATCGACTTCTGCCCTGCAGCCCACCGAAATAAAACTGCTTACTAGTGGCTTGCCAATGGCATACGATGCGTCCCAACCAGTCGTGACAGCCGCCTGCTGATTCCATTCCGTGACTAGTCCATCTATATTAATCCCGAAGACCGGCGCGTAAGCTGTATCTAGGACACGCATCAGGTCGTCTGCAGCCCGGCTGGATTCGTTCATGGCCTCACGTAGATATGTAATCTCTTGTCCAATGCCCATCACCCCGATTACATTGCTATTGGAATCATGAGACGGAATTGCGTTGAACAATATCTCGATCCGCTTTCCACTGGTTAGCTTTTTTTTTGTGTGTTGCATCTCTAGTCTCTCACAAGGCCCACGCGACAACAATCTGAGAGGGCTGTCAAGAAATACTTCCGAGTGAAGAGATGTCAAAACCACACGGCTGAGTCCCAACATGCAATCTCTCCTGCTACTGCGCCTACTCTCCATCTTGCAACATAGGCTGGGACGCGGGGTAGTCTGCGAGAGCGTGACGGACCCTCTCGCTCTGCGCAGTCGAATCATGGCCACACTGACGTGGGTCAAGAATATGAGCCCCTTCGCCGAGGGCCCACGGCCCCATGGACATACCCCAGAACGAAGAGCAGGTCAGAAGTGGAGGGCCCAAGCACGAAGAGCAGAAGGGTCCTCCTCCAAAGCCAGGGTCGCTCTAATAACCCTCGTGCCAACTATACTCAGCAGTCGGCTGCCGCGCTTGCCATGGGTGGCAGCGTGTCCTCTGGGGCGGCCTGGGGCCTGAGGCCTAGGGTTCTCTCACTGGGCTGCTGTCCCCAATCTTCCCAATTCCTGTAGGCGGCGCGCGCGATGAGGTGGCGCCAGGGGGACGGCCTTCGAAGAAGGCGGGGCCTTCCGAGAAAGCACGGGGACCATTGGAGGATGAGAAATCGCTGTGGGGCACCCACTGGTAGGCCGATTTCTTGTTTGGTGTGCCGACTGCCCCCCGCTCCGCAGCACTTCTTCCATCGCCTGTGGGCTCGACGTGCCTCCCCTGGGCAAAAGAGGCCTCGTCGAGCTGGGCACGGACTCGAGGATTCTGGAAACCCTTGGAGCCATCTCGGGACTCTTTTGGGAGCGCTTGGAGTCTTTTTGGAGCCCTCGTGGATCCTTCAGGACACTGCTGCCGAGCCTCGGGTTTGAGATTTTGAGGGCTTCGAACGCCTGTCGGGATCCTCTTGGGCACTGTTGTGGCCCTCTTCGGTCCCCCTGAAAACACTCTTGGGACACTATCGGGGCCATCCCGAAGCATCTGAGGCCCAGCGGGAGCGGCAAAAAAGCGAGGACGCCCAAACCACTCAGCCAATGTGAGATTATTCAAGAGCAGCACACTGTGATCTTGCCTTCTCGGGAACATCCAAACGTCTGGGCCCGCCTCAGAGCCGTCTCTGGCCCGTCATGGGGCTTCTTGGAGCCATGCTCGAGACCACCTTTGGCCACCTTGACACATCTGGCGCCATCTGGGATACCTGCTTCGCTTTGTCCTGCCACTTGTATTGCGTTGCAAGGTCCAAAACTACCAAGATGGGCCCACGAAGCCACTACGACGGCTCTAGGAAGGGCCCCAAAAGCGCGCCACCGCAAGACTGCTGAAGTCTGCCTTACAAGATGGACCCAAGACCCCCCAGGGCCCCCAAGAGCCCCCTTCCCCCCCACACACGTCCTCAAGGGGGCTGCAAGCGGCCCATATCCTAAGTGATGCCTCCGAAGCCAGAATGTGCACAGGTCCACAACCTGGGGGGGCGATGTTCCAGGACCCCAGGGGACAGCGGACACGGATACATTCGGGGCCCAAGCGGGCCCAAGGATAGCCATATCCACCGGCCCCGGGGGGTCCTGGGAGATTGGTGCCCAAGGCGGCGGGTACAAACTCCAGCCCCTTAGATCCTGGCCATGTTCCGGCTACGCCTCTCGCCTCAGCCCAGGCGCGGGACCCGGCGCGGTGGAGGCGCGGGCCGAAGGCAATCCACTGACAATTGCCAGCGCACGAGGCGGCGACGAGGCGGCGACGGGCGGGGCAACCAGGCCGAAAGCCCAGAGCCGCATGCCAACCGCTCAGGACGCGAGCGAGAATCCCTCAGTGCAAACTCCGTTTGGGGGACATGGTCTCCTCACAGATCCTGCTCCCCTGCACTCGAGGCGAAAAACCTCCAGAACGGTCGAAGGGCCCTCGCGCAATGCGACGGGCCTTCCGAAAAAAGGGGGCGCGACACTAGCTCCCAAATGGGCTGGTGGACGTTGGTGGGGACACTTTGCTGATCGCGAGCGCATCGGAAATGCCGAACGCCGTCCGACAGTCGTAGCAACCAAGCTACGGCCTAAATTGCGCAAGCGGAAGGGAGGAGAGGGACGACGAGAGAACAGCGGAGGGAGGGACGAACAGGAGGCCGGCCTCGCTGCCGCTCAGAATAGGTGCGCCTTCGCCTGGGGGGGAGCCGCCAGCCGGTGCGCATCGCCAGAATGGCGGGGGGGGGATTCAGGTTGAACGATACCAAGAGCATGCCACTGCGAAACACGGCGGCGCCGCGTCAGCAGCAAGTGGGAGGGCAGTGCGCCACTGCAACCTGCCCAAGGCTCGAGTGCGCTGCGGGGGGTGGGCCGGGGGGCAAGCACCAGCGCCGTAGCAAACCCGCGCAACTGGCGCACTCATCGGCCAACGCGTGGTGTAGGCGCACAACGGAAACAGGTGCCAATGACCAACGGACATACCGTCTCGTGGGTAACGGGCGCCGTCGTCGCACCGCCAATCGCCAACCAACCCGCATGCAAGCGCTCGACGGATCGGAGTTCGGATCGCCCGACACCGCCAGAGACTGGCGTCGAGGTCCTGTTCCACGAGGCGGGGTATGCAGGCGGGCGCGCGCCCGCCAGGCTGGGGTCGATCCTGGGAATCGACAGTCCCGAAGCACAGCCTGGAGGAGTCCATCCGAAAGCGCGTCGGATCCCGCTCGGGAAGCATCGGGAAAGCCACCCGCGCAGCGCAGTTGGGGGCGAACCGAGAGGCTGGCAGACCCCAGGCGGGCACAGGAGGCCGCCGCAAGCCGAGGCCGCGGCGGGCGGATGGGCCGGGGCGGCGAGAGGGCAGGCGACCAGAGGTGTCGGCCCGCGCCCGCCGCGCGGCAGGTGGGAGAGGAGCCCGGGCGGCGCCTTTGCGCGGGGGGGGGGGGGCCGCTGGGCGGGGGGGCAGCGGCGAAGGGGAGGCCGCGGCAATTAAACGCCTCCGTCGCGCCTGGCGCCCTGGGGCCAGAGGCGGGGGCAGAGGCGCCGAAGGGGCCCCGAACGGTATAATATCGTGATCCAGCTAGACTCTGGGATGAGGGCATACACCGAAAAGCGCCCCTGCAGAACTCTCTTAGAACTTGCGCGCGCGCCGAGAACTGTTTAAGATCTGCGTTGACTATGTTTTGATGCGCTTTGCATTAGCAAAAATGGTGCGCACGTCGCGCGCGCGAGAGAGCGCTCTCGTCGAGCAAGGCGCGGGCGTGCTAAATTTCATGGCGTAGCACAGTGAGTCCGCGACGACATTTCGGAAGTGGTAGAACGCGCGCTCTATACCGCTACGCGCGCGCCATCTCTGAGCGAAACGCTCTCGGGCGGCAGCCGCGCGCCCTGCCCCCCCCCCACCCCCCCCACCACCACCACCACCACCACCCACCCACCCCCCGCCCAAACGCCCACCCGCGCGGGAGACGCCCGATTGGGCCGTTCCCGCGACGCCCCCCCCCCCTCCCCCTGCAAACAGACTGGCGCGCGCAATCGGACGCGGCGCCGCTTCCACGAAACGTCGGCGCAACATTCGCGAGGATGGCTGGGGGGGGGGCCCGCGAGGGCCCGAGATGGAATGCGGAAATGAAGGGAAGAGGAAACGCACATGAAGGACAACCGGAAATCGCGCCCGTCCACGTCGAACCCTCGGATGGCCCCCCAAGAATGCGCATGGGCAATCAGATTCGCGATGGCGGCGGTAGCGGCGGCAAGCAGCGCTCCAATGGCGATGGCACTGTCTCCCCGGATGCGCTGTGGCGAGCCTCCCCCGCGCAGCGCCTGCCCCGCCTCAACGCGCCCGCGCCCTCTGCGCGGGCCGGGCGGCCAGCGGCGACTCCGAACCCACGGCGCAGGTACCAGACATGCACATCGCGAAGATAAACGTCGAACGCGCACACATGAGAACGCATTTTGGTGCCGCTGCGTCCAACGCAGGACTGCTACGGGATATATAATCTGCTACGTTGGGCCACGCGAGAGCCGCCGAGAAACTCGGGCGACGCCTGGGCTCGGAGTCGCCCCCCCAAAAAAGAGCCC